TATTCAGCTTCATTGGATGTGGATGTGTCTTCTCAGCGAGCTGGCTCATTATTCTCAAAGATGGTCCTCACCTTTGCACTCACAGCAGGGCTGCCAGCTGGTGCGCTTTTATACATTCAGCTTCCAGCCATGGTTTCGGAGCCACAAGAAGTTGAGCCAGGCGGTCTTTTTCAGCATGCATCATCGGCCCGTCTGAACATGACCAACGCCGCATCTCGGCCATTTGGGATCCAAAATCATGGTCTCCAAGCCAGAGCTGTTGCTTCTACAATTGTTCAACATGTTCTGAGATTCTCCAGGTTGATACTCGAAACGACGAAACCAACTGCCATTGCACTTGCACGTGCATTCGCAGCCAAGGTGTTGTTTATCACAGTACAGAGTTTGTCCACTGGAGTCAACTATGCCATCAGCTTTCCGATGGTGAACCCGATTTTGAGTCCTGAATCCAACCACTTCATCCTGCAGACATACCTGCCTGAACTGCAAGAAATCCACTCCATTGGAACCAGCGAAGGATACCAAGTCTACGGCGAGTTTGAGTCATTCGGACTTCTCAGCATGTCTTCTGTTCCAGAGATCTTGACTCCATCCATGATCCAGTTCAGATTACGTACCCCTTTTCCAAGCTCGGCGGATTCTGTCCAACTGCGCCTGGTTGCGGAAGCCAACAGTTTTGATGCGCAAAGCTGCATAGTCAACTAGCCTTTGTTTGGACACTTTTGCTTTCTTCGTTGTTCCCCGAAACACTACCTTGAGAATAGTTAAAATATCTCAATCTATTGGATAAGAACATGACATTCTGCCCTTGCCTTCTGAAACCTGGCCACTGAATCAGGTCGATGTTTTGAAGCCAGGGACGAGCCTTCCGAAGATAACATCGATTTTGCTCATGCCAGATGACTGTTTGGTGGATGCCGATGGAGCTCGTGCGGACTATATGTTTGCACGGGTCTTCCTCGCCAAGACCAATTATTACTTCTGGATATACACCCTGAATCCAATATCCCAGACGCGCACTTATGCAGCAAGTACCATCTTCAACGACCAGCGTGTCCATGAGACGTCCTTTCGGTCCTCACGGTCTCAGTTGCTTGGTGCTGTAATTCCTGGATCTTATGCAGCCAATGTGACGCACCGAGCAGTGTTGAAGATCTTTTCTGCAAGCGGCCTGCAGGGACAGCGGGGATCCTTGGTTTACAAGTTTACAAGCCCTTTTGAGAACACTGACTCGCCGGTGCTCTTGGACCAAGCCATCATCACGTTGATACTTTATCATATTCTCAATACAATCTTGATTGAGAGTTTGCAGCACTGTACCATACCGCTTGAATCATGTTCAACCAAGCATTTGTACTGTCCAAAAAGTTGAATTGCATGATTTTTGGTGCACACTTGGAGGGATCAGCCCCTGCCACTCTTACAGCAGCTGCGCAGCCTCCACAGCCGCCTGCCCAGCCACCTGCCCCGATGCTAAGGATCCCTGGAGCTGCAACTGCCCCGAGGTTTTGGTGTCTCTTGTGAAGACTTTCGTCCGCGTGGGACTCTGCCAACAACTGCGCGATGCAGAACTTTGCAAGAAACGGACCCTTAGTCGCAGATTTTTCAATGCATATCTCCCCAATCTGGATTAAAAAACTGAAAACGAAGGGTTTGCCTAGTGACCTAGCGTTTGTCTTTGGTCAGTTGCTTTGGACTTTGTTACTGGCCAGTGGCTTTGGCCCTCTTTCCAAAGGTGACTCACTGACGGGTCTTGCTACTCACCCAAGTGCCAGTGAGTGCGAGTCTCAGGAGAGTTCAGGAGCTCGTCTTCAGATATATTGGAGATCATTGTTTGGGGAAAGTGAGTTGAAGCCACCCTTCGAAGTTGCTTTCACTCTGATGAATTCCAATACAACCGGCACTGATACGGATGACTCGGATGACGGATGGATGGCCACTATGTATGAGGGTTGGGATCTCAGCTACTCACACAATGGCAACTGCGAAAAGGTCAAATAAGAGGTATAATGAGAGCTCTAGATTTCCCATTCAGTAAGAGTGCATCAGATTTGGAGAACATGGTGTGTATGAACGCGTTCAATCTACTTGTGCCATGGGGTTAATGCGGGTCCACGACGAAAGGCGAACAGAGGATACACGCTGCCAACATCACCATCAAATTATGACAAAGTCAGTGCTCTAAGATCATGGCAGTCCAGCTAGGCGGAACTAACATTGAAGGATAGATAGACACTTGGCAAGTTCGCAGGTCGCAGGTTCAAGAATTTACCTTTGCTCCCCTTTCAAGCGACGTATTTGTATGTTGAGAACCAATCCTGGTCTGCAGGGATGGTGAATTTTCTGGGGAGAGCCGTGGGTCAACACAGACGCAGTATCAGGTTGCAGTCGGGTTCTTTTGAGGGAGTATCCAAATCAGCCATGACTTGTCGTGTAGATTGGTGCGGATGGAGCCATCCCTTTAACCGAAGCACTGCATTACCCTGTGTTGGTAGCTGGCACGAGGGTTGCCTCCGCCAGGACCATCCTTCAAGGTTTGTCGCACAGATGCTGGAAGTGACCCTAGAGTAGCTGTAGCAACTCTCAAGCTTGTGTGTAGGTCATGCTGCAAGATGCCAGTCATTATTTGTTCATATTAAAACATCGTTCCAACACATGTTAACTAGACATGGTTTTAAGACCCTGCTTCGCGATGAGGCCGCGAAAGATCCGCGAAAGACGAAAGATATCCTTTTTTCCGCGAAGAATAGCCATTACTCCATCATGAAATAAATTTGATCGACCGCCACGCTGCTGCTTCGCCTTGCAGGTGAGAATCAAGACTTTGCTGTGGATTTTTCAGGGCATGCTGGCCTGAAGACCTTCGCGGTTTGCCCTGCATTCCTGGAATTTAGCCTTCGCAGAGCAGCTGAGCTGCATTTCAGTCCTTTCAACCTATATAAAATCTTTAAATATCTTATAACTGACATGTGCTTTTACATTGTGGATGGCCTGGCTCATCAGGAAGACGCATTTACGATCTCCATAGTTATGCGAACAGGAGTGGATGTCCCAGCTGCTTTTGACATCCTCTTCCGCGTGGAGCTTCGTTCCTCCCTCTCAGCCCCAGCAGAAGTCTATTGTCCAGAAACCTCCGTTTGGCAGCCTCGGGAGGAACTGGTTGGCCACGTCAGTAGTACTGCACAGGGACTTCCCAGATACACCGTATGCGTACAAGAGCCGCGGGCGACGACACCTGCAGACTATTTGAGCAGTGCCTCTCAGCATATTTCTGCGGTCCCTTGCCTTCCATGTGTGAGCTACACGAGACCTACAACCCAGCGGTCCCACCAAGTAAACACCAAGGGTTGCGCAAGAGTGACACAAATTTGTTTCCAATTTTCGAGGCGCGACAAACGGAACAAACCGCGGATGTGCAAAATTGTCAAACAGCTCTTCCAGTGTCCATGGTCTACTAGTAGCTAGAAGCTACTAGTAGCAGGGGCGTTGCTACTAGTAACAAAAGACAGTACTAGTAGTAGCTCCTCTCTCCTAGTAAAGGGCATTGCGGCATTACTACTAGTAGCTAAGGTCCTTTTCCATTTGCCCTACAGCCGCTTCTATGGCCAACAAGCTGAGTCTCAAGGACTCGAGGTTCGGATGCAGCGAAGCCAAATGGCGTTTGCTCCCATGGAGCCATCACCCAATGAGGCGTGACGTTTGGGGGTGGATTCCTGGTCCAGTGAACTGCGCTTGAGCAGACTGGTGCCTTACAAGATCTTACAAGTGAAATGTCATGTAATGAGTACTGTAATACACTCATATACACTCTGATGCTGTGATTGGTTCTGATGGATTTGATATAATTTGATGAATTCTGTTAAAGATATAATGTCCATTCACAACTTGGAGGAGTCATTCTCAAAGTTACATCCCAAGAAAAGAAAATGGTTTAGTATGGTTTAGTTATGTTTAGTTTTGGAGGGGTTGGTGCCAAGTATAAAGATGTGCAAACCCAGCTTGATGTGGAGGCTTTGGCTGAGCGGGTCAATGTGAACCTGGAGTCGCAAGGGCAGCGTATCTCCTGCGCTTCGCTGCCCTTGGGCCAAGTCGCCCTGGTCGACGCATCCTCAACGGACCCAACCGGCGATCTCGGTGATTTGACAGCCGATGTTGCAGGGAGTTCAGCCACTGGTTAGATGCCAGATGATGCCAGACATCTGACATGGTCAGTCCCACTGATCCGGACAAGCTTTTCAGACTGGACAATCGTCTCCCGTTTTCGCACGCTTTTGGCGCATTGCGACTGTCCTGGTCCAGTCCACGCGGTGCAGCACGAGCCGCAAGCGCATTGGTACGTGCTCTACTCAATGCCACGTCCTTCTTTGAGCCTGGAAGAATGCGGTGTGGCGGACGACCCTGTGGGCCTCCGAAAGGACATCAACAAAGGATATCGATCGGCAAGACTGTTTGCAAGTCCAGGTGCGGCCGAAACGAGTGTATGCAACATTGGAGCATTCTCGAGGAAAATTGCAACGCCAGGCTTGGTGTCCTGACTTTTGCAATCACAGCAGCGATGGAACATACTCCATCAGCTTTTCAGCTTCGTTTGAAGAGGAAAGTCGCAGCTGAGCACGGAAAAGAATGGTACAGGAGGGCTACTGTAAACACACCATACGAGAGACTTACAACTTATCTCTCCCCACGTGTTTACAAATTGTTTGGCGGTTTTATAGGCTTCTTAGCTTCTTGGTACTTGGCCTGTTTTGCCATTCAAAAATCCATCTTGAGCATTCACTTTTTTTGGAGTCTTTGGGACCTGAACTTGATTTCCTTGGGTGGCTGGTTTGCGATCTTTTTCCAACCCGTTAATTGCGAGTCATGCTCCTTTAGGCAGAAAAGACAGCAAGTTGACAACTCCAAGGTTTTTGGTGGACATCCAAGCTATGCCCAAAGTAATACATCTGATAAACACCCGAAGAAAACAATCCAACACAATTCCACAGAAGCGATCCCCGCAGGCCCATGTCCGAGTGGAAGCCGAGATCGGCTCTGGCAACTGCAGTGTAGTGCTGCTGGGAAAGGACCGCACGGACCTGTGACAAACCTGATAGCTTCTTGTTACTACTAGTAAGGCACTTGTTACTAGAAGCGATGCACTTGTTCCTACTAGCTTTTTTGCCATTTTGTCTATTTTCTGCTTTCGGCTTCGATCTCAACAAAGAGCACCACAGAAGAATACGCCTTCGGTTGTACATGTTCGCAATAAGGGGTGCTTGATAGGTTGGAGGAGCATGCCGTTTGGGCAATAGTTGGCGCCGTTTTCGGTTGGAGCTTTGACCCAATGACAGTTGCAGGATCGTTCAGGCCAAGAAGTGGCTGTCAAAGCGATTTCTTTGAAAGCTGCCAGTGGCCCCAACAGAACGTCGCCCTTAATCCGACGGACCAAGAAAGAGGCTTGAGGATCTTGATGCCGGCATTTTCTTGCAGGATCTTGCAGGTGAAGGAAGTGGGTGAAACACCTCCGGGATGCCAACTTAATCCAACTTACCAGGTTGATTAATGATGTGTTTTTTTCTTTTAGGGTGTTGAAGTCAACAAAGTCAAGAAGCTTTCTTTACTTCCCCGTCCCCACCTGTCTAATGACATGCCGGATGTTGCAACGAGTGATGTGTTTAAGGCCAAAACGTTGGGTACCGACGAGCAACGCATTTGGGGAGAAGTTCAGGCGGGCTCTCCGGGGCTCCTTCTTGAAGTCATGCTGCGCCGGCACCGAGTCCTGGACCCAACCGATGGTTTCGCGGGACCTCAGAGCAGCCAAAGGATGCCAAGATCATGAAGTGGGAGAGACATGCCAGCCTTTGGCAGGTGATGAGAGAAGTGCAACATCCCAATCTCGCTCATCTTCTGGATGCCAGAACCCAAGAGACTCCTACTGCTGCTGCTGCTACTACTGCTGCTACAAGCACCACCACAACATACCACAACTATATATATATAATCTCTATATATATAATATATAATCTCTATATAATCTCTCTATATATAATATATATACTATATATCAAAAAAAGAACACGACGACTAATGCTATTGCCACTTGTAGTAGCACCATGCGGCGTGCCCGGTGCGGCTACTCATACTCCTTTCCTCAGGATCCTAAGGCTCAGCTGACACGTGAAGGGTATGCTCACTTGATGTAGATTCCTTCTCTATCAACAACCCGGTAGGATTTATACGTCCACCAGCTTGCACGAGGTGATGGCCAGCTGGGAACCTCTGCCACTGGTGAAGGCAGAGCCGCCCTTCTTGTGCATCATCATGGAGTATCTCAGCTCAGGTTGAACTTGTTAGTGAGAGAAATGGCTAGCAGTTTGTAGGTATTTGTTTAATGGTTTTGGAGAGGGATGATCGGATGAGTAGAGATTCACTTGGAGTAGCTTAGAGTACAAAGGAAGTTAACGATGCTGAATTTACAAACAATCAATTTGTTGGTTTGGAGACAAGCCTCTCTAGATCTCTCTAGTTGATGCTTAAGACTTGAGACCTCAGCCAGACATTCCCAGAACATATTGTTGTACGTATATTATTGTGATCGAAACCAAGGTACTTGGCGCACGCTGAAGCGTTGTCGAAGCGGATTAGGGAAGCCAGCCTCGGGCCAGTAGTATCTTGGCAGCAAAGACTGCAAACTGCCATTTTCCAGATTTTTCCGGCCTTTTCTTGTACCGTTCCGCATGACAACACCGGCTATCAACACCGCTCAGCTTTCTTCACCGTTCAAGGCTTTCGAATGAGCGGGGCGTTTCGTGTCAGGAGCGGATCGTTCTTCAACTCGCCTCGGCCTTGGCCAGGCGAAATTCGGTGTCGGCCTTTTGCCCGGGTATTGGAGTGGTGAATCCGGTGAACATTTTACTGCCCTTTCGCGGCACATAGGAACCCAGAGTCAAGGGAGAGGTGGAGTCGCGCTACCTCCCAAAGAGTTGAGCTGAAGGCTGAAGGGACCTACACTTCCCCAGAGATCTCTTGTTGGTTCATTGATTCATTCGGGCATCCTGAGGGTGGTTCTCTAGAAAGGAAAGGCTTTATGCATTGCTGGGCTCCACCCACTTCAACGGCACCATGCCAGGTTGCATCGCTCAGACATCGTGCACCGAGATGTGCGGGACCCGAGATGATGTGCCAGTTGGCAGTCGGTCGGTCCTTCGTCGCTGAACAGGAGGTTCGCAACTCAGTGACAGAGACAACAGAGGACAGTGGTGGACAGTGGTTTCGCCCACCACCCGAATCACATTTTCGGGACTTGCTACAATATGGACCAGTGTCCTGTTGGCCTTTTCATGGCTCAAAGTGGTGACCAAGCAGTCGAAACCAAAGTCCTTCCTCCCTCAATTCAATTTTTTTTTGAATGCTGCAAATGCAGCGATTTATCGCAAAAGGGAAGACTTCCAGAGCAACCAAATCTAAAGAGCGCGGTCCTGATTCCTGATACCACAAAATGGTGCTCAGTTTTGATGCCATGTATCAGCCGTGCACGATTCGCTGAGTCAGCAAGGAAACAGACCAAAAAGACGCAGTGAATTGGATTTTTTGAAAGTTTATTGTTTTGACTATACAGATGGTCGAAGCATCTAGGGAACACGTATGAAAGTAGGCACACTTCATACTCAGAAATTTCAACGTATATATAGCTATTTAATTATACATTCCAACTCGTCCATAAACTCTGCGTCAAGCCTGTAGTCCAGCTTGTTTGCGACGGATCTGGCTACCCAGGAAAAACACGGCCTTGCACCTGAGAGTTCTTTTTTTTGATTTCCGTGGGGCTTTGAGGTCTGGGCCGAGAACATCCTAATTGACAGGCAAGACAAGGTTGTGCACAACTCAGTTTCCACATGACATGGATGCGGTGGTCAGTTTTCTGTGCCTTCTGAATTGTATTTTATGTGCTTGCACTGAAAACCTGCACCTGGTGTCCGAGACACTACTTGACTTTGGCTGTGCTGAGCGTTTGCAGAAGCCTCGATCTCAGCCAAACAGTAGAAACATGTTGGAACTCACTGCACTGTTGGAAACTTGATTTGATTCGTGACAACAGACGATCTAGCGTTTTGATTTCAATCTGCTGCTGTTTTTTGTATCTGACAGACAGATGGCCGCAGCTCAACCTTTGTTTATTATATATACATAACCCAACTTTCACCAGTTTGCACTGACATATACCGCGTCCTTTGATTTCGCTCTTAAGTTCTCTCATCTCGCCAGGCCAGCGACAAACAACAAGCTAAATCTCCCTTATATGTCTCCAGAGTCGGCCGCAGGAACGCTGTGAGAGGGATTGGGAGACTCTTTGGGTGAGTCGAATATTCTTTGGATTATGGATTTGGACTCTTAAAGATTGTTTGTAGAATCCGAATCGAATGTAAGAATCGAGTAGTTGCTCAAGCTCCGCTGTTTCTCCGAAGCACGGCCGGCAGGACGTCCCCACGATGTAGGGGATGACGCCTGGGCTTGGATCTCAGTGCAAAAACTTCATCGTCAATGTGGGGTCATGTGGTGGCTGAAGAGTAGATCGTGGGCCGTTAAGCAGTTTGATCGCTGGAACCTTGTCTGAAAATTTTGAGAACCTGGAACCCGTTGTGGACACCATTGGGGTGAACATCAGTTTCTCAGGTAAAGGATCCCCGCACACGAGCCGCCTTGTGGCCATACTGAGGCATTAGGCTTGCTGATTACTGAGATGGTTACAGGAGAGGGGGTGTCCAGATTGTTGCAGAGCGGTGCTCGGCAAGTAGTGCTTGGCGTTGGCACAGATCAATATATTAAGCCATCCTGGACCATTCAGAAGGAGCACCAAAGGGCCTCTACAAGAACTGCTCCGATTCCGACTAAGTGCCATTGCTGAAAGTTGCCCCATGCCAATGCATCTGGGGCATTGGAGAGGCCGCTTTATGGCAGATCGGCTTGGACGCGTTGATATGTCAGGAGCTGAGGTTCCAAGCAGAAACATACTAGTAGCTCCGAACCCCTTTTTACACTTGCATACACCTGTGGCGCTCATTTGTCACAAACTCTTGCAACTGCGGAGACAATCGGTGTGATTAGACGTTGCACCAGAGTGCCAACAGCAGAAAACCCCTTGTCCACTGACGTGTCCCGACCTTCATGAAGACTTCGGAAGAGGATGTTCTTTTTTGGTGACTCTAGTGTCTCCTTTTCTTGTTTCGACTGTGAATCATTGACTCTGACCTGCCGGACCTCGAGCGAGCCTGGAACTTGAGACCGGTCCACTTCCAGCGGCCTGCGTTGTGTGCTGCCCTGTCAGAGACAGTGAGCCGCTGCTCGCCCATCCTGGGGCGGCTCGCAGCACAGGCGTCAGGGGAGGTTGGGGGGGTGTTTCAGTGTTTTCCCCAACCCACATGATCGGCCCAAACATCCAATATGTTGATGTTAGGTGGCAAACCTGCCTCCAAATTCTTGGAAGCGAGGATCTACAATGCTTCGAAATAGCTCCCTGGCAGTAAGTGACCTTGTCCCTCGTGTGGGAAGCCATCGGAGGGATGTGACATGAGGAAACTGGCAGTTGTGGAGCAAGCGCACAGTTCAGCTTCACTGGCTTTCGACGGAAGAACCCCAGAAGCTGAGACGCAGCTGCAGTGAATTGTGGGTATCTGTGGGTATCTCAACGTGCAGAAACAAGAAACCATATGCAAAGGTTAAGTTTGCCTGACATGAATCTAGGAACCACATCATGCGAAGAACGCCCCAGCAGTTGGTTGATCCAGTTGCTACAGCTTACCACCAGGCGTACCGCCAGGTGCTCCATCTTTCTTAGCCGTTTCCACTCCAAAAAAAACATGAACACAGGCATGTGTGCAAAGTGCGAAAGGTCGGCACTCACGTTTCTACAAAAATGAGCAATTTGCATGTTCCTTGAAAAACCGATACCAATCCCAAAAACGATACCTAGCCTTGTGACGGTACACATCTTGGAATCTATCTTTGCCTATTGAAACTGTTGACACTTGAGACAGTGTATGTCCAAGTTTTTTTTTGCATACGGCTTGCCATGCTAGTTGAACATTCCATTTTGCTTTTGCTCATGTTCCCTTCTCATTCTTCGATGGGAAAAAAATGATGGGTTTAGACCGATCCCAAAACGATACCAAACGATACCCACTACATAGGTCTGTATCCCCTCAGAAACCACCTGCCCCTCACATGCCACTACTACCACCACCACTACTACTAACTCCTGCTGGTGCTGCTACTACTACTACTACTACTACTTCTACTTCTACTACTACTACTACCACTACTACTACTAGTCCGACGACGACGACGACGAAGACGACTACTACTAGTCCTCATTGGCAAGATCACCTTCCAGAGCAATCTACATTTAGACGATACCTCCCCAGAAAAGTGCATATGGATTGAAAAAACGATACCAATCCCAAAAACGATACCTGCCTTAAAACTTCCCACCAACCGACCCCTAGTTTTGCCGGTTGCATATGTGTTGTCACGTGTTGTCACATCAGGAAATGACCTCAGACCTGGGACCTCGGTCACCTCCCCTGCCGGTCTCGGCCCTCGGTCTTCGGATCCGGACGCAGTTCTTGGACTTCACTGCAGCACGTCGTCCGAAGATGGTCGGGAGCGCAGGAAGACATCAACAGGATGAGACCAAGTAGTGTTTTTGGCAACTTAAGTGATTGCCTGTTGAAATTTAATAAGTGGATCATGTGAACATATGTGAACTTGGCCATGAGTGTTGCGCAGTTTTGCTTGTTTGCCGTACATAGTGGTTCTATTGATTGTGGTGCGCAACATTCTGCGTGCATTGACAAACGCGACAACGGATAAAGGCAAAGCAGAGGCGTTGCTCAGTCGGTTTTTGGGCAGACGGAGCCTCACGGAAGCTTGAGGCGGAAGTGGTGAATTTGCTGCGCCCAGGCAACCGCAAGATGCTTGTTTTCTACACGAAGATTGGCCAACAGTAGTGCCATAGTTATCGATGCAGACGAGACTCCAGCTGTTGATTATCCGTTGCGGAGAGGCCATGGGAGAAAGCACATCTCCATGGTCCACTCAAATGAATGCTCAGCCTTTGGAATCATTGCCTAAAATTGAATAGCATTCCGAGCCTAGGAGCAAGATTCACCAAAAGAATGTAACACTGCAGTTCAACACCATACTTGCGATACTTGCAGCATTTCAGTGAAGCCTGAAACATGAAGGTCATCAGAAAGATGGGGATCCAGTTGCCCCCTGAGCTGTGCTGCAGACTCCACGAGATTCCAAAATGCCTCCCACCGTGTTTTGCATTCTGTTGCCAAAGCATTATCCGGAGGAGTGAGGAATCCATCAACTGGAAAACGTGCCGAATCAGGAAGAGTGCAGTCGTGGGATTTTGTTTGTGCAAAGGCATTTCAGATACACCAGCAAATGCAATAGCCGCAATAGCCATCCCGTTTGTTCAGCAGGATGTATTGAGCTGAGGCTCTTCCAAAGGATGCTAGAACAAGCCGTGCCAGGTCAGCAGACTTTTGGTCAAGCACGAGGTTATACTTTGCGTAAAGCAACTAGCAACTTTTGAGTCTGATTTAGGAAGTTGTTGCTGGTGGTCGAGCAGAGCAGTTGTGTTAGACTAAGGAAGGAAGTCTGCCAATCAGTCTTCACAGTTTGGGCTAGATACATAATATAATAAGAATGAAGTCCAGATGCATGGGTGTTTAACTCCAGGCAGAATTGCTCTCGTTTGATTCGTATTGTTTTCCGCCGCAGGGCAGAGCAAGCACGGAATCAGCAAGAAGCCGAGTTGCTTACAGAGAAGATACCGGTCCATACTTCGCACTTGCTCGATCTTTCTTGAGTTTGAGGGCTGCACTAGACAATTGCAGTTGCAGTACTGATACACCACAAGCATAAGAAGGGGTCCTAGACTGGGGGCCATCAGATTGAACATGATGTGGAACTGCAGAGGCCGTTTCTTAACTCCCACTTGCGTCAAAAAGGCCTTAGGATGCCTCAGGCCTTGGCAGGAAGGCATTTCTTTACCAAAAAAGCATGTGCCGGTGTGTTGTCCTCTTCTTGAAGGCTTTCTGGAGAAAGTTCTTGGTCCCAGACTACCGACTACCCAGACTCCGACTCTGGCAGGTCCCCACTGGGCTTTCGCGGCCGTCTTTGCACCTCGCAGTGCTCCCCGCTGCGCCGACCAAGCGGGCTCGTGGCTGGGCCGCAGATCGTGGCTTTTGATGACAGGACTTCTTCTTTGGCAGGATACCGTCTGAATCATGCGGCTTGGTTTAGGGCACTGTTCAACTGATTTGGGTTGTAGGAAAACCTACGGGACAGATCAGGAAACCAGGGTGATGGTTTTTCTCTTTTGGTATGGTGGTTTTATACCGGATTCCCATTGTCTTGCAGGCACCCTGAGAGAAGGTATTGATCAAGAATCGGGAATTTTGTGGTGTCACAAAATGTCACAAACCAGCCAGCGTTCTTTCTGCTGACATAAGTGTAACTGTAACTCGCCCGAAGTGGCTTTGGTTGTGGCACAGGACAGGGAGAGGACAGTACTGATCCAAATGGTTTCAGCAATCTTCTCACTGGCATGAGTCTTCCAGCCTCCACTCGTGCACATACTAAAGCCATTCAAACGCAGGTTGTTTTCAATGTATTATTATGTGTTATTTTCTTTTTTCAATCTTGTTCAGGACTTTTCGCTGAATAGGAGTTAAGTCCTTGCTGCGAATTTGCATATGGTTAACATAGGGTCATAGGCTTCTGCTGTGGATTTGCAGAACTGGTCAGAGAAAAGTCACCGCCCAACCCGGCCGCTTGCCAAGGTTGACATTAGCCCTGGCCGTTTTGGACGGCAAATCCAGCCACTCACCGAGCTATGTTCAGAAGCTGCTTGCAAAGAGAGAAGGCATCTTGCAAATTCGATCAGTCAAAGAAACTTGTTGCTTCTCCAGAGGTCGGCCACAAGGAGCCGTCCTACACGAAATAGCTTTGGCAAGAGCACCGGTCTTCAAGGTCTTCAAGCCTCTGTAGGCCTCGGCCCCAGCCTGCGCCCGGCGGCTGAAGCCAAACGACCGTATCTAAAAAAGTGGGCCTCCAATAACCTACTACTACTAAGCTATTTAGTTTAATTTTAATTCTAATAGCAAACAATGTTACTACTAGTAAGGCACCTGTTACTACTAGCGATGCACTTGTTACTACTAGCGAGACATCCGAGAGCGTTTGGGAGGTCAGAAGCAAAGCACTTCCAACACGGGGAGCTTCAAGACTGGGCAGAGCGTGCTGTGCGCTGGCGAAGATGTTGGAAGGGGGGAAGAAACTTTCATCCATTTAGCTTTCAAAGTCAAGGGAAGGCATTTGCTTTGGAGTTCTCTTAACTCACTTAACTCTTGTCTTTTCCATTTTTTCTCCGACTGTGAAGTATGACCACCCACCACAGTACGCAATGTCTGAACACGGCCCACTTAGCCCTTCGGCTTCGCCAGGGTACTGGGTTGCTTGTATGTAAAGATTGTAGGATGGAGCCCACACACCATATTGGAAATTAAATGAGGCAAGACAAGAAGGGAAGCAAAGAAGTCACACACTTAGGAAATGCGTACTGAACTGAATGCCACATGCCACTCGCCAACCTAGGTATGAAAGCCTAAGAAGCCAGGTGAAAGGTAAGTTAAGCAATCCGAAAACCTCAAATCTCAAAATGGAGTGGAGTCCAACCACGAAAGTTCAAAAGCTGAGTCGCCGATGCACTAGCCCTTTACTGCAGCGACTAAATGCGGAAACAACGTATTGGACAGCTTTTGCCATACTTAGGTTCTCAAAGTTCAAATGCAGGTACGTCAATCCAGCGTCCCGGATTGATTTCACAGATGCAACACTGGCGTCTTCGTTGGTGCCAGTCCAGTGTGCATCCCTGGCACCCCTGCTTTAAAGTGAAAAGATGTGAAAAGGAGTGCAAAGAGAACAACATCAAAGAAATCCCTGTGACTCCAAGGGTTTCACACACTCTGACATTGGCTTTCAGTTACACTCACTTCCCAGGTAAAATGGCAATGGAACGGCAAGGTGGCAGAGTCCGTGAAAAGGTATTGTTTAACAAAGGTTGGTGCACATCTGCAGCTCACAAGATCGGCGGTGTCAAACGTCGGCGCGGCACAGCTGCAAGGAAAGGTTTGGGGGTGGTAGCATGAAGAACCATGAAACAAACCGTGGAAAAGTAGTGTAACAGCTTGTAGAAAACTCGGCAGGTACGTTCAGAGAGCGTCCTCTCCGAATATCACATCCGATCAGCAGTGTCTTTGTTAGGCAGTGACTGCTGAAAGGATCACTGCCCCCCTGCCTTGTTAAGTGGTGGTAATGGAAACGGTGGCATTGGACCCTTTGGTACAGCGGGTGACACACACACACAGAGCCGTATTCGGCGCGGTCTCCCCTAGCAAAGTAGTAGTGAGGCCAGGGGCCTCCAGTAGCGTCCTGACTCTCCGGGGAACATTTGTACAGAAAGCGCCAATTGTTGGCGCAGCGAAAAACTATTAGGCGCCTAAAAAGCCTTAGAAAGACAGACAAAGCAAACAAAACAAAAGCAGACAAAGAGGGCAAGAAAGAAAGATAGGTGTAGTTGCGAGGCCCATTTGGTTAAACGAAAGTAGTTTGCGAGTGGGACATTCGTCTTAAACCGCCCGGGTAGCTAGCAATAGTTAGGAGAAACAGAAGGAAAGGCACCAACACACAAGTGTGTTGAGTGCGATTTCCTTCTGTTGCTCAGTAGCGGGTGGGATAGCAGAGGAGGCCCAGGGGCAGGGAGGGGGCGCACGATTAATTCGTCCGGCCTGTGAATACTTAGCAGAGTGACATGGACTGGTGAATACTTAGCGGCATGTTGCAGACTGAAAAATCCCGTTTTTTGGCCCGGCGGCCTTGGAAGCAGTAAATTCAGTTAAGGTTGATCAAGTGGTGAATTGCTGTGAGAGGTGGAAAAGCTCAGTTACACGATTTCCGGCATGAATTCAGCGCCCCAGTGACGGGGATCACACTCAGCGCCCGAGTGGGACGGCTGAGCGAAACACACTCTGACATTGGTTTTCAGTTACATTCAATTCCCAGGTAAAATGGCAATGGAACGGCAAGGTGGCAGAGTCCGTGAAAAGGTATTGTTTAACAAAGGTTGGTGCACATCTGCAGCTCACAAGATCGGCGGTGTCAAACGTCGGCGCGGCACAGCTGCAAGGAAAGGTTTGGGGGTGGTAGCATGAAGAACCATGAAACAAACCGTGGAAAAGTAGTGTAACAGCTTGTAGAAAACTCGGCAGGTACGTTCAGAGAGCGTCCTCTCCGAATATCACATCCGATCAGCAGTGTCTTTGTTAGGCAGTGACTGCTGAAAAGATCACTGCCCCCTGCCTTGTTAAGTGGTGGTAATGGAAACGGTGGCATTGGACCCTTTGGTACAGCGGGTGACACACACACAGAGCCGTATTCGGCGCGGTCTCCCTAGCAAAGTAGTAGTGAGGCCAGGGGCCTCCAGTAGCGTCCTGACTCTCCGGGGAACATTTGTACAGAAAGCGCCAATTGTTGGCGCTGCGAAAAACGATTAGGCACCTAAAAAGCCTTCGAAAGACAGACAAAGCAAACAAAACAAAAGCAGACAAAGAGGGCAAGAAAGAAAGATAGGTGTAGTTGCGAGGCCCATTTGGTTAAACGAAAGTAGTTTGCGAGTGGGACATTCGTCTTAAACCGCCCGGGTAGCTAGCAATAGACTAGGAGAAACAGAAGGAAAGGCACCAACACACAAGTGTGTTGAGTGCGATTTCCTTCTGTTGCTCAGTAGCGGGTGGGATAGCAGAGGAGGCCCAGGGGCAGGGAGGGGGTGCACGATTAATTCGTCCGGCCTGTGAATACTTAGCAGAGTGACATGGACTGGTGAATACTTAGCGGCATGTTGCAGACTGAAAAATCATGTTTTTTGGCCCGGCGGCCTTGGAAGCAGTAAATTCAGTTAAGGTTGATCAAGTGGTGAATTGCTGTGAGAGGTGGAAAAGCTCAGTTACACGATTTCCGGCATGAATTCAGCGCCCCAGTGACGGGGATCACACTCAGCACCCGAGTGGGACGGCTGAGCGAAACACACTCTGACATTGGTTTTCAGTTACACTCAATTCCCAGGTAAGATGGCAATGGAACGGCAAGGTGGCAGAGTCCGTGAAAAGGTATTGTTTAACAAAGGTTGGTGCACATCTGCAGCTCACAAGATCGGCGGTGTCAAACGTCGGCGCGGCACAGCTGCAAGGAAAGGTTTGGGGGTGGTAGCATGAAGAACCATGAAACAAACCGTGGAAAAGTAGTGTAACAGCTTGTAGAAAACTCGGCAGGTACGTTCAGAGAGCGTCCTCTCCGAATATCACATCCGATCAGCAGTGTCTTTGCTAGGCAGTGACTGCTGAAAGGATCACTGCCCCCCTGCCTTGTTAAGTGGTGGTAATGGAAACGGTGGCATTGGACCCTTTGGTACAGGGGGTGACACACACACAGATCACCCCAAAGCGATACGTGCGCAACATGTCCAGCGCCACTCAGCGGCCCTCCTTTTCAGAGATACCGGGGGGGGGTGTATGCAAGAACAAGACAATATCACATGGAGACCGAGATCATGGCAATGTGTGACAAAATAAAAACTACGAATTCAAGGCGTAGGAATCGCAGGTAGAGGAACAGCATCTAGAGATGTGTTGGCGCTGAATGCCTTACGAAGTTGGCGGCGGAATTTTACATGAGATGCCGAATGAGAAGTAAGGGTGCATCATATCAAGTCGAATGATGGGGCGCGGGCTAATATAGTCTTCTGGAATGGTCTGATCAGGATCATACGGGAATTACTGCAATGTTTTGTCGTATTAGCTTGCAATGTTTGGACCACACGATCTTGCTGCGGAAATTGAGCTTGGAAGGCTAGGCCCGTTGTATGTGTATGCCAGAATCACCAAAATTAGCGGAAACATTTCATTACACTATATTAACTATATATCATATATGTATATAGTTGCCTCGGGACTTGTAAAATCCCTCTTATATGGATTTCATTGATCCATTTGTTCATATTTGGATGTATTTGGCCGTTTGGAATTTTCCGTGTGTTGAGCTGTTTGGGATTGGCCCGTCAGGTACTGCCCCAAGGAGGCCGGAGTAAAGAAGGGAGTGGTGCAGGGTCGTTCCGTCTGGAAGCCAAGAGGCGGCACAGCAGGGAGAGCAGGTTCCAATTGGACAAAGGGGATTTCTGAGTTCAGCATGCTCTGGGAATCGAACATGTTGGCCCAGACCTCTTGGTCACCATAGGAACCAGTGGGCAGCTGTCCACATGACCTGCGCTGAGGCTGATGGAACGGGCTGGAGAATCCAACTGGAAAATGGTTTGTGTATAGATGTTGCTGACTCCGAGGAGCTGGTTGGCTGTGGGGCGCGTGGGTTCATCAATCACTTCGTTGAGTTTTGGTAGCTCTCGAGTTTTTGTTGAACTTGCAATCAGTCGTTCTAGAAATAATTAGGGCTTTTGCATGCTTGTGCTATAGCGGATGATACTATCACTTCCGAGACTAGTTGAACAATGTGGAGAGCACAAGCACGGCTAATTCATAACATCTCAATTGGCAATATAACGAACTAATCCTGAAAAGCAAACCCAAGCAGGAAACACACACCAAGCCCAAACAAAAATCCACTTCATTCAACAATCAGCCAAGCCAACTTTTCCAGAAACCTGCACAGGGAATATTCACAACATTATATATGTTGCATTATGTTTCATTTGAATCAGAAACACATCAACCAGGTGGTTGATTAACAAAGCTTCCCAGTTTCATGGCAGGCTGAATGGACATTCATGTTGAAGACTTAGCATTAGCCATCTTTATGGATTGATGCGTAACATAGGGGGGGCGCAAAGATTTGTTTCGGCGATCCTGCCGCTGACCGAAAGGAGTGGCGAATGTGTTTGTGTGATCCACCTGCGCCAATCCGGTCCGGCTCCTCTGGCTTTCACCCAAATGATTCTGCAACTTAGGGTGTGTATGGGTATGTTTGACGTCGAACTGAGTGGATGACCCAGCATCGAACCTTCAGCATATATTCAACAGCCATGCCACCATGAGTATGACAGACACAGACACCTGCAATTTCTTTTGTTGCTCTGCAAGTACACATTCATGAAATGTTTGAAACACTGTTGATGAATGGTGCGTTTTCTGTAGTGATTGTGCCCCTTAGATCCATTCTTAGGCCCTCACTGCAGCCTACACAGCAGCCCGTCCAACCTGCGGTGCCTACAGCGCCTGCAGCGCCTGCTCGAGCTGCGTCAGCTCCCACAGATATCAAGGCCAGAGATGCGAGAAATGGGATGTGGCATCAATGAACTGCTAGAGCAATGACAGATATTGTGACAGATTGCATATGATCCGAGACATTGAAGTGGCATCAGATATTTTTGCATCAGATATGGAAGTGGCCATGGTGACAGATATTTTGGGGACATGGCCTACTGTAGCTCATTTTAGTCTGGGCCATGACTTCGGTTGCTGGGGTAGAAGTCGCTGGCCTTTCGCATCGGGAAAACTCCGCTTTTAGTTGCTTTTGTGTGCCGCGATCAATGTGATAGGTCTTGACTGATCGTAGCCCATTCAAAAGGAATCAATGACCCGTTCTGCCCGCATTTCGTGCTGGCGCCAGGGTCCAGTTCTGGCTTGGGCGCACAAAGAGGCTGAGATCTGGGCGGTCTCATTCGATCGCATTCCTCGGCGAGTTCAGCTCTGAAGTTGTTGGACAGTGAAACACACCCTATTTTTGGCCGAGGTAGTTCAGCCGCAATCAGATGTATAAAGACGTCCCGCCCTGGAAACAAGGACGTTTGAGGCCCAAAAACCCCGCCACTGGGTAACTAAGCAGCTGACACAGGATTAACACATGCCAGTTGAGGGAATTGTATCCCTTCCTCGTCAGGCGTCCGCTGCTAGAGGGAAGGCGAGTGGTTTTGGTTGCAGATCATGTTTCGACATGTTTCGACAAGTTGTCAGAATTCTGAGCTTGACTCAGTGTACAGGGACCTTCATGATTTTATGATCCTGAGCTTACTAAGAGTGACAGTCCCAGCTTTGCTGATCACTTGTGGCCGGCCACAACATTTTGCTGTTGTTGTTTTTGCATGATTTCCTTTCTTGTTGACAAGTTGTCAAACAAAGAATTGGCTGGAGGTGTTGAGCACCTCCTCGACAGCATCTTCTCTGGTCGGGGCCTCTGAGATCGGGATGGACGTATGGTCCGTATGGTGGAAGAGGTCAGAGTGGAGGAGATTTCTCGACGTGTTTTCATACTCTGAGGCCACAATGACTGGCTCGTCTTCCCCAGAGGTTCGGGAGACCCAGTGGTTTCCAAGTAAGGCAATTGCCAAGTAGGACGCTTTAGAGTCCTAGTCTTTGCTCACTCGTTCCACTAACAAGGCCGTTGCTCTTTGTCATTAAGCGGATATCAAGTCTTTTCCGTACCAAGGTGCATGTCTCCTATGCACATCGCCTGTTTCATCCTTTTTCATTTGTTTGGACAACAAGCTTTCTCCGCTTCTCTTGTATTTTGTTCGTGGCATACTGGCTGATCAACAGCCAGGTTACAGATGCCTCACCGATGCCAAAGAGCTACAAGATTGCCGCGGCTTCGAAGCTGCAGAATTGGCTCATGAGTCTCGATGTTTGTCCTACCAAGAACTACATAAAAGAATTCAACGAATTCACAGGACGCAGCATTCAAGGGGTTTGGATCCCAGTAGACATCAAGGTCAGTAAGCCCTACACCGCCTGGGCCAGGCGAGCATTGGGTTGGCAATTAGAACATATTGTAACCATGCGCAAATGTGCCCTTTGCAAAAGACCACAGTTGTTTTTTTCTATGCAAAAGCGGTCAGATATTTGGTGCCAACATGTGCCATCTCAATGGGAAATGGGAAATCTGCAGATTCAATAACTTAGGTACTAAAATTAGTTCATCATTTTTTCATCTCGAGTACTGTATTTAGAAGACTTCTGTGTGCCTTGGCTGCCTTGGCTCCCTGTGCAGCACATCGCCCATGAGACCAGCCACTGCGGCCACCACCTCAAATTTACAGAACACGAGCTGAGAAAGAGATTCGTCATCGAAAAGAGTGTTCGGCAAGAATTACCAATTTTTGACAAAGACACATTGTACTGACTCTTTCTCAACAGGGTGATGTTCTTTTGGCATTTCGTCTTGTCACCAGGGCCAGGTGCCTGTGCTTTGGGTTTCAGTTTAGTTAGTGTTTTCCGATCCAATTCTTTCGAAGTTTGGCAGATCTGAGGCCTCGAAAGTGCCTCTCTCTGGTGTTCCCGCCAAAGGCGGCCAGCAAATCTCACGAGCGTACCAGAAGAAAGAAACACACTGACCCGACTAGTGACTAGTCTGAACTGACTAGCAGCATTTTTGAGAGATTGTGGTCTCATGTGGCAAGGAGTTCATGAGGCTGAGGCAAGCTGCTTCTTGATATCAAGATCAACCCCACCTGGTTTCAGGTGAAGCGCCACACCCTGGCCCGTTGCTGCGGGCTAGGTGCCGGGACTTGGATGTCGGACAAATGTGGAGCGGATCGCCCGTCAAGAGGGACACAAGGATTACGTATGATTACGTTTGTTCAACTGCGGCTGGGTCAGGGTTATTTCATGTTATTTCTATATAGTCTATAGTTATACACGACAATATTTTTTTCTATCAGTTCCATTTGCCTGAATCTGCGTGTCCTTAGGCTTATTCTGTGTTCATTCTGTTGGCAGTTTTGCACGGCCGCTGTCGATGTGGGATGGTTCATTATAGTTCTCCTTTCTAAGAATGCAGAACGCACTCCCCCATAACCAAACCTACAAAAACAATTTCATAGACCACTGGATTGATGCTTCTTGGTTGATTCTTGTGCAACCTGCTCGTGTGAGGTATCCGTACCCAGGACAACGCCTTTTCTACACGGCCAGGACAGTGCTGATTACGCACTCACTCAATTTGTGTCCAAGATGTTGATCATATTCGAGAGTTTCTGGTACAAGCATGGTCTATAAGTTGGATTCTGCTCCTCAGAGGGCAGATTGTATTGATGAGTGCTGTATGCTGGCCTATGCTGGCCTGTACAAACATCTATGCATAGTGAGACATATACCTTCGTCAGGAGCAACGGGCAGCGCTATCCTGGTGTATTGACAGGCAGGGAACCGCAAAAGCCAAGCAGACCACTCACACACCGCAAGTGGCACTTGCATCGGATGCATTCGCTGTACTTTGGCGAGCGACACTGAGTGTCCTACGTGTTTCAGGGTGCTTCATTGTTGCTCAACGTGTTCCAGAGTTAGTGTTTGGTACATCAGGAACAACCAGCCTTGGTTTGGATCATTGTTGCGGGGCTATGGTCCCACAGCGCCAAGCTGCGTGGCTTTGACCTGCAATGCAACCTACAGACCGAGCAATCTTCTTTGACACCCCAACACTCACTTTGGCCATTGTTTTTGCTATGTGAGGCTTCCTGCCAAACCGCCCGGGATACCGGGTCTTTTTGGACTGTGGGGAGAGCAAAGAGGTTGATGAAGCTGAGGCCGATTTGGGCGGCAACAGGAGTCATGTCTTCAAGTGGCACAGTCTCTTAAAAGGAACGACATGAATCTGTCGAGACTGATCTGCGAGTGTTTTGTTTTGTCCGGAACATGAACCACATCCCCTGACCGCAAAATAAGGGCAAGGAGACAAACAAGGATTGCGTGCATTGAGATTCATGAGCATTTGATGTATCTTTACGCGAGGGTATGTTGCGGAGATTCAATGTTTACTTGGAGTCTTTGCAGAGTGCCATTACCCGTGGCCCGTGGCATTCTATCTCATATATGCATATATACACTTTTGAAACCGGCACACACCCGTATGCATCAAGAAAGAGCATCTTACAAGGCCATGGAAAGGATGTACATTCGTTCTGCTCATGTGGTCAGGCCTGGCGACTTGCGTTCTGAGCGTTTGCCAAGAACGTGGCATATGTGGCAAACGGTGGACTCTTTTTGCATTCCCATCTCCGCGGCAATTCGTTCACAGCATTCATGCAGCCTTGTCACGCATTCATGCTCTAGAATCGAGAAGGTCGAAGGACTTGAGATGACTTGAGCATGTGATCAGATGGGATCATACATGGACGCAGATGTCACATCAGGTTCTTGGTTCGGTCAGGGCATGTCACGGCTGATGCATGCCTGGCGTGTATAATACGTGCTTTGCGATTCATGACACTTGTTTTGTACCATCATGCTTAGGAAAGTGACTGTGGGCCTGCCCAAACATCCCGCACTAGTCAACTAGAAGTTGGACTATTTGCTGTTGCAGCTACTGATTGCATGTTCATTGTAGTTGTAAAGGATTGTAGTTGTAGAGAATCCAATGCATCAAACAGTTCTGAAACTGCATACATTAGTGGACTCTCATCCACGCCGAAATTCAATTACCGTGGTGAAGTTTAAATGTGCCAAGGGCCTGAAAGACCTTGAGGCACTCAATAAGAGACTCACCGAGCAACGAGCTTTGACTTTGTCAGGTAGTGGCATAACTCTAGCCAGAAGACAAAGCTGTATAGGATACCTTGACTCGGTGCTGGCACAAACCGTGTGCCACAAGCTGATTCCCTGCTGGATTCAATCATGAATTGAAATAGAATCGAGCTATGAGAGGCTGTCTGAACTAATCAGTGTAGTGTAGTTGTAGTTGTAGGTTCTTTCAGAGTATTTCAAGTGTGCGAAAGCCTTAAAGACTTCTGACTGGATCCGCAAGGGAGCCTCGGGTAGCCACCTCAACATTCAGTCTTTCTGCTCGAATTCCAAGAAGACAAGAAAGATCATGGAGCATTTGTGGAATCGGTGGTACCTGAGCTGTTTTTGAGTTTGACTGACTGCGTTTGGCCATAACAGTGGCGTGCATTCTTCCATCTCTACCATGATCATTTTTGACAGCTGTATGAAGAAGTGTGAAGAAGCTGTCGCTTCCTGCGGATTCCATAGGCAGTCACAGACAGAGCCGTACCCCAAAGATGTTTACTGCCCAATTCTCTGCATCACAGACAAAGGGCCAAGCAGACTAATTCCACAGGGGCTTGTCCAATTCAAGTTGAATCAGCATAAGCAAGTATGTGCCATTTCATTCCCTCGTGTGTGGCTATAAAATAACGATGCAAGACCACTGGCACGGGTACGGTTGCATTGCCACTAGTAAGTAACTTTAGGTTTCAGGTCGAAGTGCCTCAAAGCCACGGGTACTGCACCCAATAGATGATGTACCTACTGCTGGTTTGTCTCAGTCTTTTTCAGACCAGGTGTTGTCAATATGACATCATTCACCTGCCTTCTACAGTGAAGGTCTTGAGAAGCACCTCAAGAAAATGAGATGTTTGCTAGCGTTTGGAGCGAGGGTTTTCGACAGATTGAATGCTTGAATTGATATTGTACTGTACTCATATTGCCAAGCCCAACTGCCTGAGCATGTAGTTATTATTAGTTATTCTTTTGTTGGTCGCTTTCTGTTGGCATCATTTATCATGAGAAAAGTCAAATAGTGATCGCCTAGATTGCGTCTGACTTGCAGGTTTTTTTCAAGTATGCAAGGCAGTAGTCTCGAGACCCCTGTGCAAGGCCAGCGATGGTTTTCATGCATTGAGTCTGATCTGAATCCGCGATTCCCTGCTTTCGAAGAGGAATCTTTCTGAATGCCCTAGGAATCAGTAGCTAAACTCAGAGACAATGGAGTTGTTGCCGTTTTTTCTCAAGTGCAGCATCGTCTCATTGTCAAGCAAATACATCTTGTATGTCAAACTTAAAGGGATGTAAGAAGCAGGGGTGAAGGAGCAACCGGGACAAATCATGATTAAGCATGGAAAGGAAGGTTTGAATTGGAAGAGCTTCGAATCAGCCATGATTGACAGAACTCACCTGGACATGACATCTCTGCTTCAAGTCCGGAAGCTGTGGCAAAAGAAGTGCGTCAGTTGCAGCATAGAGGATGTGGTGAATGTCAAATTCAACTTGCAAATTCACCTCAACTGGGGTGCCGGGATCGTTCCGCATCATTGAACCATGTTGAGATTTGCTGAGATATGCTGAGTTGCAGAAGTAGATGTCTGAATTGACTTCAGAAATTAGATTTCAACCGCAAGCTGAGCACTACCGAGACTGCAATCGGTGACAGCTCCTGAGGTGGCTTGCCTCTTTCTGCATACGAGCTGGACACACTTGGCTGTGAACGTGTATTGCCTCTGGTGGGCACCTTGGGATGAAGCCCAGCGAAACACAATCACACCTTGGACCGAAGCCGCCTATTTGGGCACATGTGTCAAACAAATACTGTAGAACTTCGTAGACGCTACGGTGGGCATTCTCGCTGGTTTCAACTCTAGTATGGCCATCCGACGTCCGTGAAAATCTGTAGAGACGCCAACGGCCGCTTTTGAATGTGTTCTGCGGACTGCAGGTTTTTTTGGCCACATTGCTGAGCGTATTATGGGCCCAGGCAGTGGCGGAACTTGTGACAAACTGGGTCATTCCCCAAACAGTGTGGTCACAAAAAATCTTACTGTAAGAGTTAAGGCCGGGTGTCCAATCGGTGGTGCTCACATCCGCGTCCGGCAAATTCGCTGCTATTTACGGTACATTCATTCACCTCGAGATCTTCGAAGTGCATTTCGACTGTGCATAGATCAATTGCGCTCTCGTTGTGGTGCCGTGCACATTGTCGGACTTGGTGGTCACTTCTCGTGGCAGGCGTAAGGCAAACCTCGCTTTGGACATGGCAGTGAATCGTGACTGTCGCTTTCAGAAAATTTGGGAAGTCTCGAGCGAAAGCTGCGTGTTGGCATCTTGATGTTGTCTTCAGAAGTGCTCTTGCTGCGAAGCGCACTGGCACTGCGCGATGTGAGTCTTAACTTGCAGATGTGGAAGGCGCAGTACTTTGTGGACCTTAAAGTGCAGATTCCGAGACCGGTGCAATCCTTTGCGGCCTTGGACTGCAGCAAACGTGCTCTCATACTTAGGCTCTCATGTGTGCTCTTATGTATGTGCTCCTAAATGTGCGCTCTCATGCGCGTGTGCTCTCATATGTGTGCTCTTACATGTCCTGTCATATGTGTGCTCTCCAGCCCTCCAAAGCTCTAGACATCTCTTTCCACCTCTACACGACCTCCAATCTTGACAGTTGGGATCTCAATTCTAGATCTCTCAATCTCAAGATTTCTCTGGATCTAAAGTTACGCCTAGACATCGATCCCGCCTTTGCTAGACCTCTAAATCTCCTAGACCTCAAACTCCAGATCTCTAGAAACTTATATAGAGGCTTCACATCTCTTTGGATCTCAAGAGCTCTAGGCCTTAGATTTCTAGACCTCCAGAGTCCTCTAGGTATCTCTGGATGTCTAGGCGTTTAGATCTTGCTGGTCTAGATCTTTTGGATTCTTTTTGCATCTGAAGACCTAAATGGGTCTCAAGACCTTTAGACCTCTGGATCTCTAGACCTCCTTCCTACACCTCTGAACCTTGGACCTCTAGGGATAATAGAATTTTTTGCAGTGTGATGTCGGTCGACAGACATGTTCTCTATATCCAATGTATCCCCTACTGAGCTTCGTCATAGCAGCTGACAACCAAAGATGTCACTGTTGCGCAGTCTGGAAGACTGAGATGTTTGCGGTCTGCTTCTAGTGCACTCCATTAAGGTCTATGTGAAATTTTGTTTGTTGTTTGTGTGCGCAGTTTGGCGAACAATTTTGTTGTGTGTATGAAACATATACACAGCCTCCTCTCCAGGAAGGTTTCTCCTGACATTCTTGGCTGCTGCAACTTGATCACAGATTATCGGGATCAATGGAGACGATGCTGCAAGTTTGGCCTAAGATTGATAAACCTCAACAGCATCCTCAGAATCCTCAGATGCCTTTTGTGCTATTTGTTTGTCGTAGAGGTAGCAACTTTGATAAGACGGCGCAGAGATGCAGCCAAGACGGAGCCTTCAGGCTGCTTTGCGCACGTGTTCTTGTACAGCATGCGGTAGTCAAGATATGGACGGCAACTTGTGTTTATTAGGTTCCAACCAAAGTCCAAGACTATTTGTGCATCATATCATACCGGCAACCTCCATACCATTTTTCAACTCTCAGGGCCTGGGTGGCTCCTTGTTTTCGTTAGCATGGAAACGCCGACGTCGAGGCGTTCAGGGCTGGGCCGGCTTGGAATGGTTGAGAATATGAATCTGTGTAATTAAGCAATCACATGCCTAGCACTGCTTGTACCAGCTACCAGCATGACTCAGGTGGCAACACAAGCAGTTTCAATATTAAGTCCAACGTTTGGACCTTCGCGAGACCGGGCAATTATGTCTACTGCAAGCAGATGACAAATGATTGTCAGCTTGGCCATTGCATTCAGTTAGACTACTGTGCAATCCACCAACCAAATTCTGATTGAGCTGTCATGGATCAGGATCGGAGAAGGAGACGCTTTTCAGGGCTTTCTCAAAGGGACTTGGGCGGGCAAGACTTCGAGGCTGAAAATTCACTCCAAACCCGTGCAACACCGTGCGCTTGGGACAGATCCTTCTGGCTCTGCTGGAGCCTCTGCCAGCATCCTGGGACTTCTAGGTGCAGGGGTCTCAGTCCCACCTTTCACGTGGTAGTTGTGTTTCTAGTCATGGAAGAAATCCGTAGAAATCCTGCAGCACCTATGATACCTATGATTCTCCTGAAACACTATGAATGCAGTGGTGTTCATTCTTTCAGATTGCTTTGGCATGTCTTTCGCTGTTACTGTCCCATGGCTGGAGGCCTTTAAGCTTCGGCTGGCTTCAGATGCAAGGTGTAGATTTAGATTTGACGTCATTCGATGCAAGTCTGTCGTGACTTCCAAGTGGAACAGTCGAAAGCTATGCGGATGAGCAGTTTTTTCTTGCAAAGCTGCTTGAACAACCACAAAGTTCGAGGTATATAGTAAATTAGAGCTAGCAGCTAGCTGTTAATATAATTACACACCGGATTGGAAGCAATATCAAGCATTTACCTCCACAGTCAATAGCTAAGCCCAGTTTTTTTTGCATTCACCCTTGTGCCATGTGCGATGCGGATGTTATTGTAGTTGGTGCCGGCATCAGTGACCCGGCAGTTAGGGGGAGACAGGCTTGCAAGGCCAGTCTTGAGCAAAGAGTCTGAAGCAGTTATTCAATTATTTGTGTTTTTTCCACAGTGGAGAGTGGCATCATCCCCAGCTATATGGTCTCTCTCTATATATATATATATCTATATATATATATTTATGTATACTATAGATTATATACATAGCAGTCCCCATGGACAAGCAAGTTTGATTGCTAGACGTTGGCAACTTGCAGAACAGAAGTGTGGCATGCCGCCAACTGCCCGAGTCCTTCAGCCGCCTTCAGCCTGTAGGTGGTCTTGCCTGTGCACGAGAATTGCTTCGAAAGGCTTGCAGATAACAAGCAAGAGTCAAGAGTGTTGCACAACGAACCGCACCTGAGCTTCTGTTCTCTCATTTGGGGTACTGTAAGTCATGTCGGTGATGACCACACTGTTTTGATTGACATGGCAGTGATTCTGGCCCAGGGCATACATGTTTGTGTGCTTGAAGCTTCTGATCGAGTGGGTGGTCGCACCTACAGCGTGGAGATGTCAAGTCAGCGTACTTTGGAGACATGAATGTCAAAGTCGCAGTCGCAGTCGCATTGACGCTGGGTTGTGGTGGCAAGACATGATCCTAGAAAATCCTAGCTTTTGCCATGTCTAGTGGCAAATCATGGCAAATCAAGCAAGTAACGTTCCTGCAGCAAATTCAGAATTGGTACATTCTGAGGCATAGATCTTGGAGGCCAATGGATTGTTCCCTGGAGCAAACATCAAGCTCTTTTTTTCTATTTGTCTCAGTCGAGCCAGATCTCTGTAATTAGATGGTATAGTCTTTGCTCATCAAGTGAAGGCCTCCAAAGCGCAACAGCCTTTTGTTCAAGCGCTTGTCAAGGACAGCAAACTGCACCTGTAGCTGCAAAGTTCATAGCAATGCTGCCCTAAATGTTGTGGTCTGACATAGTCCAGCAGATCCTCTTTATGAAGCTTTGATCCTACAATTTATATCACTTTCCAAAGTTATCACTGCAGGAGTCGCTAGTGTCCCTTTCTTTGGCAACAAGCCATTGACGGTAAGCAATTTGAAAGGCAAAGGTGGTTGAGGGACCTGCCCAGTGCACCACTCCAGGAACTTGGGTTGCAGCTTCATCCTCAGCACTACAACGGCAAGAGGATTCTGGATCTACAGGATCGTCAACCCTTGGAGATGCTTGTCTTACGTGGAAGGCTTGCAAGAAGAATCACTTAGGCTCTTAGATCAACTGGCAAGTGAAGCAAGAGTGTTTCATTTGGTTTTTATCACCAGGTGCATACATCTCCAATTCCTTGAAGTCATGCTTGGTTGCCCTTGGAGGACATGTCTTTGTCTCTTTGCCAATTCCGTAGCCACGAGAGGCGACTCCAAGTCCTCAAGTTGTCGCATGTCCAACCGAGGTATAGTACCGAGCCTCGGCACAGCCCATGAGGCCCAGGACCAGGAGAGTCAAACATCAAACTGCACAGGCTGTCAGATGCGGGTATGTCACATGACAAAGCTTTGCCAATCTGATGGTGTTTCCCGTGTTTCGTGTGCTAGTAGTTTGGAAATAAGAAGAGGCTGTATGTCCAAGGATATCCCAACGGGTATTGGGTTGCGCGCTTTGCTAGCGGTTCAATTTACCCTTTGGTATTGCACTTTGCAAGCCCGCCAGAAACTCAGTGAGCAGAGGTTTCTTTTTTTACAAGTTCGTATATAGGAAGTGTTTGCCAGTTTCCCATGTATGGCCTCCCTCCTTTTGACGAAACCAAGCATCTCAATCGAAGGCTTGAATATTGGATCAGCCGCAGCCAAAGACACCTCAGGGAAGCTTGGCAGGCTCGGGCGATCTCAGCCTGTAAGCCATTCTTTGAGAGAAGTGGGCTTTTTCAATCTGGGAAGCCAAAAGTTTCTTTGCAGTCCAGGCAAGGCGGAATAGCCTTTTCTTGGACCCATTTGGTTCCAGCTTCTCGATATCCCTGGGCCAGCATTGTGAAGGTTGGTATCACATGGTACCATTGCATGGTTGTACACCCTCAGACAGTGCCCACGAGATGTGACCGCAGATTCGACCAACACAGCACTGCAGATGTTCTGGCAACTTGGCAGATAAGAGCGATGGCCTCCAACCTACTAGCAACGGCCTCCAACCTACTAGCAACGGCCTCCAACCTAATTGCGATGGCCTCCAACCTAGAATACATGAAGATGTCGTGACACCCGCTCAGTGAGACACTTTACAAGCCAAAGCAAGCTTACTGTAAGTTTGTTGCGAGAGATGCGTTGAAGATACTTGCTACGTTTGCGACTGCTTTGACGGCACGGCTACACTTCCAAGGAGAAGATTGCAGGGCTTTCTGGCCAGGTGGCTACAAAAGCACTTGTGACTGCCATGATACGGGGCGTTTTTGGATGTGAAGCGAAGGAGAGAACACCTTGCGGTGACACTTTGCCTGTCAGGTTCCTCCCTGTTTTTGGTGCCAGTCTTGTTTTCCTTGCAGCAGTTGTGTACGGCAATGCCTATCGCATGGCTGGGATTGACGAGTTAAAGACGGCGTGCCCTCAGAATGAATACAGTAGTTGGTAGTCCTTCTTGCAACGTACTTGGGGTTCTCATCGTTTGGTCACAATTTTTTTGTGCATTCGAAGATCGTCAGTCCTGGGTGGTGCAGAGGAGTTATCTTGGCTTCACTTCTTGCACTATATCGCCTGTGCTGGCGGAGTTCGATCCTGAGCTCTGAGATGTTAGCGCCTTTTGCCACTCTTGAGCTTGCACTCCATAGCACTCCTGACCTTCAATGAGTCGTCCAAATTCCTGTGCCTCCCAACTCCCGAGCCCAGTTGGAGCGCCTCGTGACGATCAAGAAGGGCTTCCAGGCGAGCGAAGGGGTCCGATGCGAAAATCGAAGCATGCGAGATGCGAGGCACTTCGGGCTTGCAGAAATAGGGGGTATCGCAGAAGAGCAGCCTGCAGCAGGTGTTTGAAAGGCTAGCAAGCAAATATACAGTACTGTCGGTACATGCACATGAAAAATGTGCATAGAGGCAATCAATTTGGACAGCTCCACCATCCTGCAAGAACGTTTGATGAGGAGCACACTGTATTGGGCGGTGCCCAGCAAATTTCGGAGCGCTTGGCCAAAGAGGTGCGATCTTTGGGAGGCTGGAGCCGAACAATTGGGAACCTAACTTGCCGTCGAGGTAGCAGGTATAAGTATACAATGTAGAATCATGTAGAATCCATTATATATATATATATGTTGCTTGGAGCAACGTTTCTGCTGTCTAGCCCGCAGACTTAGACCTTTGTTGCCAGTCCATGTGGCTGTTTCAATCTCATCTGAGCTCAGACCAGACAGCTTGAGGAGTTGCAAGATCACCCACGGTGTCACTTAACCCAGTCAAGCAACATAGGACACGACAATTTACGACAATGTCAAGTCAAACATCTAGAATGCAAACACTACGCGGGCTTGCATGTTTCATGTAAGCCACTATTAGCAATTGTGTTTATCAGTTCCCTCACTTCTTAAAGAATGCAACATTTTTTTGGTGGATGATATGATGCTTCAGCCCCGCCGAGTGTCTGTGTGATGCGCCGCCCCGCAGCCGCTCTGCGGAAGGACAGCCTTTCTTGACACCTCAACAAAATCACTGATAGTTCCACAGCAGCACAACACATTGTAGTACGAGATGTGTGGAATCGGATTTGCTGCTGAATGACACATGTTTGAAACAAATCCTTTGATTCCTTTGGTGGTTGTGAATGTTGATTCAGTCTCCACAAGTTAATGTTTTAGTGGCTGCAAGACAATCTTGAAGCTGTCAAGGCGTGCGAACACTGCTTGAAAAGTGAAAATAATGTGATCTGGTCAAAGACCTGTGGTTGTAGAGGAATCTGACTCTGAGAGTGAGTTGGAGATTGACACTCGAGCTACTTGTCAGGAAGTGTTAGATCGATGTGAGCAACATCATTTTTTCCACATGGATGCGAATATCAGGTGTCATTGAAGGCTATCCCAATTGAACTTCACCTGGCGATCCCATGATTCAGCAATCCCCTCTGCTCTAGGTTTGGCGTCTCCGCAGGGGTGCAGATTTGGTGCAGGTGCGCCTTGACGGGGAGATGTGTTTCGTCTTTGGGCAAGCAATGCAGCGCTTCCATGCGCTGATTGTTTGCTGCAATGTACTAAGATTTGCCCATGAGGTCGGTCTGTAGATGTCTGTAGTTAAAGTAACGCATCTCATCCAGTTTCCACGACTTTCATGCCGACCTCTTAAGGTTCCTTGGGAAACATGTTTCATGAAACGGACGAGGCTTGGAAAAGGCCTCCAAGCAAGATCGAGCTGCAGGACAGCAGAAACTGTTACTGTGAGGATGGAGATGTCATGTCTCTTTTTGTCCATGTTCCCCGAACCGCAGTGGCGGGGGCTCGAGCCGCGCAGCCGAAAACAGGTGCGCCTTTCCGCGCGGGTGGTCCTAGGTGGACCTTGTTTGTCCTTGGAAGAGGACGGCTTGCATGGTAGTCGGAGCTGCTGGAGACGATCTTCCTTGAGGAGCTGGCGGTGACGACTGGTGGAGAGAAGGGGGCGCCATGCCCCATGAGGAGATCCCATGCTGGGATGGAGACCCAGCATCCTTTGAGGCTTTCGCCACTTCGTGCAAGTGGTTCGAATACAGCCTCAAGGATGCAGAGAAGAAGCTGGCAGCCCCGAAGGTCTGGCAGAAGCTGTCGGGAGTCGCGAAGAGCGTGGTGAAGCACCTCGAGCCCAAGGACTTCAGCTCCGAGAATGGCATGGAGAAACTGCTCGCGGTCCTCCGCGAGAGTCCGCTGCAGCAGCTTCCGATCCCGGATAGCTTCTCGAGGCTCGAGAAGTGGTCGAGCTTGAAGAGAACAGCTCAGGAGACCATCCCGCAACTCCTGGTCCGGGAGGAGGAGCTGTTCGTCGAGCTTCAACAAGCACTTCAACGAGCTCGCCATGAGAGGTCCCGACACGAGGTCAGGTCGATGGGAGTTGGTGCCAGTGAACATGACCCGCCAACCTCACCTACGAGGTCTCCGAACGTGACTCGGGCCGGACTTGGCTCGGTTCGCGAGGATGTGACCTTCGAGGATGAGGAGCCCCAGGTGACGAGGCCTATGACGACCTCGACGACGTCAGGCGAGACGGCCGGTTTCTTCGAGCACGAACTGAGGGGCTACAGGCTTCTCAAGGCCGCCAAGCTCAGTCAGGCAGAGAGACAACATGTTTTGACCCTGACACGGAACTCAACGCACTTCAACCAGATCAGACAGGCCCTGAGGTCTTTGTTCGCTGACGGAGCTGACCAGTCGGATGACCATGGACGGTTCCCTCGACGCACTGCCTGGTTTGCTGAGGACTCCAACGACTGGGAGATCGAGGACGACTGGTGGCCGAGCGAGACGGACTGGTGGTCTGAGGATGCCTACTGGAACGACTGGTCGCCGACCTACTGGGAGGATGACTATGGCATTGAGTTCGAGATCGGTGAGGGTCATCAACCGGGAGAAGAAGAAGGGCACGATCCAGCACAGGAAGATCTTGAAGGCGAAAAGCGACTGGAGGAGGCCTACACCATTGCAGCGGAGGCCAACAAGACCCTGGCGGAAGCGAAGATGGCAGTCGCAAAGGTGAGAGCTGCTCGGGGCTACTACAGTCCGGTTGGGATGAAGGGCGGACCTTCTGGCAGCCTTGGAGGAAAAGGAAAAGGGAAGAGCAAGAGTCCCTTTGGCAAGGGAAAAGGAAATGGTGCTGCAAGCCTCAGACCATGCTTCATCTGTGGACAGAATGGTCATGGGTATGCCCGATGCCCTGACAGGTGGTCACGGGGATCTTCATCCGGGAGAACGTCGCCTACCTCTTCGCCCAAGGGTCCGATGAAGGGCTTCAAGGGCAAAGAAAAAGGTGGGAAGAGCCGCAAGGGCGGCAAGGCCTTCTGGGTGGACTATACCCCGGAGTATGGCTACTACGAGGTCAATGTCATGAGCCTGGCCGAGGACACGCGCCTTGGAGAGCTTTCCTTGACCAAGGCAATCATCGATTCCGGAGCCACAGAATCGGTTTCCGGCATCCGGTCCATGTCGAAGCTGATTGACTCAGGCCACTTCCTGTACGACATCACGCTGGACAACCGGCCCCGCTTCCGGTTTGGCAATGGAGAACACCAACGAGCGGTGTCCAAGTGCTACCTGCTGGATGGTGGCGCAGAAGACACTCCTCTGCTCATCGGGTCGCGGATTCTCCGTGCCCGTCGAGCGGTGATCTCATACCATGGAGATTACTTGGCTCACCGTGGAGGAGATGGAAGATGGTGGGTGAGCCAGCTGTGGTCCTCTCCGGGCGGACACCTGGTGATTGACTTGAGCCAGCACAAGCTTCCAATCGAGTTCCTGCTGAAGAGGTTCAACACGAATCCAACTACTCGCTGGCCACCGGATGATGACGCCGGTGATGATTCCGACCCTGGAGATGAGCCGCCGCCTTGGAAGAAGAGACCAAGGACACATGAAGAGAAGAGGCAACACGATCCAACTGGATGGTTGCTTGCGGCAACCACTGGACATGCCCGAGACCAACCTGAAGAGCCTCCTGAACCAGAGGAGATGACAGAAGAGCGTCGAGAACAACATCTGAGAGCCGCCGCATTTCTCCATTCAGGCGAAGTTTCCAACTACACGCCTTCCGTGCCAGGAAATGATGAGCCTGGCCTTCTTTCTGAACCCCTCGGGGAACCCAAAGAGCCGGAGGAAAAGGGAGAAGATGTGATCGTTCGACGTGTTCCCATAGATCTAGAAGAAGAGGGCCATGAGGCACCCGAGGATTCCGAGAGGCCCCTGGAGACTGTGTCGTCGTTCCTCAGCGACGCGGCCGGGAATGACCATGTAGAACATGCAGTGGAAGAACATGGAAGTCACATGCATGGAGAAGCACATGGTCAGGTGGAGCAACATGGAGAGTGTCAGTCGGTGATTTTTGATGGTCGAATACTCATGGTTGAGGAAGACTCGAACGCAGATGCTCTGTCCGACCGCCTCAGCAAGTTGGCTCGACGGCTGAACGACCTCAAGAGGACGAGCCCAACGGACAATGAAGACATGTCCTCCTTCCACGGACCAGGACCCACGCCATGTCGGGTGGCCGTGCATGGGACACCACGTTCCTGGACCTCAGCGAACCAACAAGTTCGCAGCCTGGCAGGCCTGCAATCATTGTGGCCTGAGACTCCGGTACACCACCAAGGGCACTGGCACCGGGGACAACCGGGCCATTGGACCTCCGCCAGATCATGTCGAGCTGGCGCAACTGGAACTCCAGGAAGCCTTCCAAGCGCACGAGATCACGGAGAAGATTTTCAATGGGAAGCTTCTGGAGATCCGAGGACGGACCCTGGTGGAGACACGTGGACGAGGCCGCACGACAGTTCAGGTCAGGGCGAACGAGACCTTGGGGGAAGCACTGATGGCTGGGACATCGTGCACTCAGACCACGGAGAGCCCAAAGAAGACGCCGTACCCCAAGGCGATCTCGCCAGTCCGCCAGAGTCCACCGAAGCCATCGACCAAGGCGGAGAAGGAAGCCGATCTGATGGTGAAGAGCGAAGGGATCATTCCAACCCGTCGCTCGGGCAGTCCGATGAGCGTGAGCTCAAGGACCTCCTCGGTGGTGGTGGTCGCCAACGAGGCGGAGATCGAGCAGATGAAGAAGGAGCTCCAGGAAGCGAAGGCCAAGATAGAAGAGCTGGTCGTGAAGAAGGAGAAGGAGGAAGTGGAATCCAAGGGCGAGTGAATGCCCTGTGGAAGGCTTTGAGCGGATTGCGTCAGAGGATGCGATCGACATGTCCTACCCGGCTGGAGGCTGAATTGGACACTAATCCTGACAACCTTCACTTGAGCCCAACACGCCAACAAACAACAGCAGAGGGAGAGCCTTCTCTCCAACAACACGGAACTACGAGCACAACGAGCCCTACGTTTGGTGGGGAACTGGATGACACTACGAGCACAACGAGCCCTACGCTGGGTGGAGAGCCAATGGGGACTATTTGCACGAGATGCCCTACTGGCAGTTTGGGTCCATCAACGGCACGTCACCAGGAGATTGTGAAGGAGATCGCTGCCACAAACCATCTGACGGAGAAG